TTCACTGCTCTGGCCATTGAGCGCTCAGATCAGGGAGTTGGTTGAACTCCGGAGATAAGTGAATTGACACCATTGATGGATGGGCGCTGACTCTGAAGGTTCATCACTCTGGCTGTGTTCAGATCCAGGAGTTGAGTGAAATTCAGAGATAAGTGAATTGAAATAATTTTTAGTGTCGCCATGGATGGACGTTGACTCAAAAGATTCATCGTTCTGGTTGTCATGCGCTCAGATCTGAGAGTTGGGTGAACTCCGGGGATTAGTGAATTCAAATAATTTTTTGTTTCACCATGGATGGACACCGGCTTGGAAGGTTCATTGCTCTGGTTGTCAAGTGCTTAGAGTTGGGTGAACTCCGGAGATAGGTGAATTGACACCATCTGATTTCTCCCGGACAAGGATTGGTGGAATTATAAAGTGGTAAAGGAAAGATTTGAACTCACAGCTCCTTCTTCTACAGCCAGAGAACTTACCTCCTAGCTATTCCAGAAGATAAATTGAATGAAGGAAATAGCTGGATTCGATCTCATGGCTCTGGGTCTACTAAACAGAGAAACTAAACACTGAGCTGTTTCTCCTGTGGGATCCACCCTTAAAAAAAATAAAGGTCAAAACCTATAGAACGTAAAGAAAATCCAATTTTGGAAAGAAAAAAAACACAAATATACAACTTGGCAGTTCCGTGTTGCTCTGGCTGTTGAGCGCTCAGATATGGGACTTGGCTGAACTCCGGAGATAAGTGAATTGACACCATTGATGGATGGGCGCTGACTCTGAAGGTTCACCGCTCTGGCCGTTGAGCGCTCAGATATGGGAGTTGGCTGAACTCCGGAGATAAGTGAATTGACACCATTGATGGATGGGCGCCGACTCAAAAGGTTCATCACTCTGGTTGTGTTGCGTTCAGATCTGGGAGTCGAGTGAAATTCAGAGATAAGTGAATTGAAATAATTTTTTAGTGTCACCATGGATGGACACCGGCTTGGAAGGTTCATTGCTCTAGTTGTTGTGCTCAGAGTTGGGTGAACTCCGGAGATAAGACACCATCTGATTTCTCCCAGACAAGGATTGGTGGAATTATAAAGTGGTAAAAGAAAGATTTGAACTCACAGCTCCTTCTCCTCAGCCAGAGCACTTACCTCCTAGCTATTCCAGAGGGCAAATAGAAAGAAGGAAATAGCTGGATTCGATCCACCTATTTTAGTGCCACCATAGATGAAGGTTGACTCAAAAGGTTCATTGTTCTGGTTGTCATGCGCTCAGATCTGAGAGTTGGGTGAACTCTGGAGATAAGTGAATTGACACCATTTTTAGTGTCACCATGGATGGACATTGCCTTGGAAGAACTCCAGGTGAACTCTGGAGATAAGTGAATGACACCATTTTTAGTGTCACCATGGATGGACATTGCCTTGGAAGAACTCCAGGTGAAAGATAAGTGAATTGACACCATTTTTAGTGTCACCATGGATGGACATTGCCTTGGAAGGTTCATTGCTCTGATTGCCATGTGCTCAGAGTTGAGTGAAGTCCAGAGATAAGTGAATTGACACCACTTCTAGTGCTGCTGTGGATGGACGCCTCCTCGGGAGTTTCATCGCTCCAGTTGTCGGCCGCTGAGCTGGAGACCGAAGTTTGTAATCTGCACTGGTGACACAGGAAGCCATAGACTCTCCTATCTACGCCCAAAGGTGGGTGGAATGGTGTCTCAATAAACATGTTTCTGGAACTGGGAGATCATCTTGTAGCACCTGGACCTCATTAGATGCAAGAAGAATGTGTTAAGGTGGCCATACCTGCAGGTATATCAGAGAACTAATCATAACAGAGATTGATCGTTTTATTTTTTCAGTCAGTGCCATATGTGTTGGATATTTTATTGGACGACGAATAACTCGTTTGCAATCATTCACAGAAATCTCCAAGCGGGTTAGAGGTTTCCTACCTCACTTCCTGTTTAGTGAAATCATTGTCAGCAGGACAGGAAGTGCGGTGAAATCTCTCCTCAACAGAGTCCTAGAGAGCAGTAAAACCCCTGCATGTTTCAGGCACTGGGTGCAAGGTGAATCGACCTATCCAGAGTCACCAGTCCCATCACTAAACACCATGGTGGAGTCCGGCCCTGCAGATGGACAGCTTCCACCGGATGTTCTTTTTCTTTTTTGGACATTCCGACACTGAAGAGATTTCTGGAGATGGCTCGATGCAGAGATACGGAGTGACCCCCACCAGGGTCAGTGTCCACCGGAGCTGCGTATCCCATCATGCACCGCGGCGGACTAGACCGGGACTGCACAGTGCTCACCACGTTCAGTGTCACCCTCTAAAGAATAAATAATACATACCTCTAGTGGAGACAATGAATCGTCCTACAAAGCCACCATGATAGATCATTTTAAATTCCTTTTCACAAGAAGATATCCTGGAGCCCCGAGAAACATCCACAGATCTAGAACTGCCCCCCCGGGGTATCTTCTGGTGATTTTTGTCACCAAAGGATTTTAAAGATCATGAAAAGTGTTTTAGTTGGACGATTCATTATGTTCCCCCTTCACATTGTCTCCATAATATCCAATACGACCTCATTTGTGTCCTATGTCAGGATAATGGGATTTACAGGCTAAAAAGGTCCAAGATTTGGGATCAGATCTAGAGGTGGTTATGGGTTTGGGATCCATTCTAGAAGAGGGTCTGGATTCTGGATCAGTTCAAGATTTGGGATCAGATCTAGAAGAGGTTCTGGGTTTGGGATCTGTTCTAGAAAAAGTTCAGGATTTGGGATCAGTTCTTAAAGTTTTGGGTTTGGGATCTGTTCTTGAAGAGGGTCTGGATTTGGGATCAGTTCTAGAAGAGGTGCTAGATCTAGGTTTAGTTCCAAAAGAGGTTCTGGAGTTGAGATCAGCTCTACGAGAGGGTCTGCATTTGGATTCAGTTCAAGAGGTTTTGTTATCCATTCTAGAAGAGGGTTTGAATTTGAAATCAGTTCAAGAGTTTGGGATCACATCTAGCAGAGATTCTGGCTTTGGGATTGGTTCCAGAAGAGGATTTGGGATCTGTTCTTGAAGAGGTTCAAGATTTGGGATCCGTTCTTGAAGAGGTTCTGGATTTGGGATTAGTTCTAGAAGAGATTCTACATTTAGGATCAGTTCTAGAAGAGGGTCTGCATTTGGATTCAGTTCATGAAGAGGACAGTATGGGGTTCCTATAAAAATGAGGGGTGCAGAAAAGAGAGTATGGGGTTCCTCTATGAATGAAGGGTGCAGAGGACAGTGTGGGGTTCCTATATGAGGGAGGGGTGCAGAGGGCAGCGTGGGGGAATGAGGGGTGCAGCGAGGACAGTGTCCTCTATGAATGAAGGGTGCAGAGGACAGTATGGGGTTCCTCTATGAATGAGGGGTGCAGAGAGGACAGTGTGGGGTTCCTCTATGAGGGAGGGGTGCAGAGAGGACAGCGTGGGGTTCCTTTATGAATGAGGGGTGCAGAGAGGACAGTGTGGGGTTCCTCTCTGAATGAGGGGTGCAGGGAGGACAGTATAGGGTTCCTCTACAAATGAGGGGTGCAGAGAGAACAGTATAGGGTTCCTCTATGAATGAAGGGTGCAGAAAGGACAGTGTTGGAATCCTCTATGAATGAGGGGTGCAGGGAGGACAGTATGGGGTTCTTCTATGAATGAGGGGTGCAGGGAGGACAGTATGGGTTCCTCTATGAATGAAGGGTGCAGAAGACAGTATGTGGTTCCTCTATGAATGAGGTAGAGGACAGTGTGGGGTTCCTATATGAGGGAGGGGTGCAGAGAGGACAGCGTGGGGTTCCTCTATGAATGAGGGGTGCAGAGGACAGTATGGGGTTCCTCTATGAATGAGGGGTGCAGAGAGGACAGTGTGGGGTTCCTTTATGAATGAGGGGTGCAGAGAGGACAGTGTGGGGTTCCTCTATGAGGGAGGGGTGCAGAGAGGACAGCGTGGGGTTCCTTTATGAATGAGGGGTGCAGGGAGGACAGTACGGGGTTCCTCTAGGACTGAGGGGTGCAGGGAGGACAGTATAGGGTTCCTCTACAAATGAGGGGTGCAGAGAGAACAGTATAGGGTTCCTCTATGAATGAAGGGTGCAGAAAGGACAGTGTTGGAATCCTCTATGAATGAGGGGTGCAGGGAGGACAGTATGGGGTTCTTCTATGAATGAGGGGTGCAGGGAGGACAGTATGGGGTTCCTCTATGAATGAAGGGTGCAGAAGACAGTATGTGGTTCCTCTATGAATGAGGTAGAGGACAGTGTGGGGTTCCTATATGAGGGAGGGGTGCAGAGAGGACAGCGTGGGGTTCCTCTATGAATGAGGGGTGCAGAGAGGACAGTGTGGGGTTCCTTTATGAATGAGGGGTGCAGAGAGGACAGTGTGGGGTTCCTCTATGAGGGAGGGGTGCAGAGAGGACAGCGTGGGGTTCCTTTATGAATGAGGGGTGCAGGGAGGACAGTACGGGGTTCCTCTAGGACTGAGGGGTGCAGGGAGGACAGTATGGGGTTCCTCTATGCTCCTCTCTAGGAATGTGAAGCCCATTGGATGAAGCCTAGAGCTGGCATTCTATTTGCAGAACGTTATTCACCGACCCACCACTAGGTGGAGGAAGGAGCCCAGCTTTGCACAGTGGGGGAGGGGGAGATGTAGAAGCGATTTGGAGGATTTTCGTTCCGGCGAATATTTGCACATTTACCGATCGATGTTCCTCTGCTGGAATTATAGGGAAAACGATTTACAATTATTTCAGCCAAATGTGCTTTCCAGACAACAAGGAAATGTTACAACTTCCTTGTCACCGGAGAAATTTCACCTCATTTCCTGTCCTAGTGACACCCGTGGGGGTGAGATTGCAACAGGTGTCACCTGGACAGGAAATGGAGGTCAAAACTCCCTCCGCCCCGTCCATGCATCTGACCACATCGGAGTTATCCTTTATTCTCTATGGCCGTCTGACACGTCAAGGACCAGAAAATTCACAGGTGTCCCGGCTCCTCCCCTTCAGCCTTGGCAGGTGTCCCGGCTCCTCCCCGAGCTTTGCGCAGGTGTCCCGGCTCCTCCCCTTCAGCCTTGCGCAGGTGTCCCCAACTCCTCCCCTTCAGCCTTGCGCAAGTGTCCCGACTCCTCCCCCTTCAGCCTTGCGCAGGTGTCCCAACTCCTCCCCTTTAGCCTTGCGCAGGTGTCCCGGGCTCCTCCCCTCCAGTCTTGCGCAGGTGTCCCGACTCCTCCCCTTCAGCCTTGCGCAGGTGTCCCGGCTCCTCCCCTTCAGCCTTGCGCAGGTGTAGCAGCTCCTCCCCCCAGCCTTGCGCAGGTGTCCTGGCTCCTCCCCGAGCTTTGTGCAGGTGTACCGGCTCCTCCCCTCCAGTTTTGCACAGGTGTACCGCTCCTCCCCTTCAGTCTTGCGCAGGTGTAGCGGCTCCTCCCCTTCAGTCTTTGCGCAGGTGTACCGGCTCCTCCCCTTCAGTCTTGCGCAGGTGTACCGGCTCCTCCCCTTCAGTCTTGCGCAGGTGTACCGGCTCCTCCCCTTCAGTCTTGCGCAGGTGTACCGGCTCCTCCCCTTCAGCCTTGCGCAGGTGTCCCGGCTCCTCCCCTTCAGTCTTGCGCACAGGTGTACCGGCTCCTCCCCTTCAGTCTTGCGCAGGTGTAGCGGCTCCTCCCCTTCAGTCTTGCACAGGTGTAGCGGCTCCTCCCCTTCAGTCTTGCACAGGTGTACCGGCTCCTCCCCTTCAGTCTTGCACAGGTGTAGCGGCTCCTCCCCTTCAGTCTTGCACAGGTGTAGAGGCTCCTCCCCTTCAGTCTTGCACAGCTTCGGCTCCTCCCCTTCAGTCTTGCACAGGTGTAGAGGCTCCTCCCCTTCAGTCTTGCACAGGTGTAGAGGCTCCTCCACCTAGACTGAATGTCTTCCTCTGACTTCATTGCAAACTGGGAGCTTCTCACAATGTCCATTAGAAACTGCAGCCAATCAGAGCTCTGCCTCATTTCCTGGCTGGCTAGATGACATCCAGCATCATCTAGCACCCCAGCCTGCCCATCAGAGCATTCTGATATTTGCACAAGTCCTCCCACTGCTGAGGGCTCTTGAGAGGAGTACCAAGGCCAGGTGCTGGGATTTTTCAGCAGGCTATGTACTGCACCCTGCCAGTCCCTCCCACAAGCCATGATCTGCCTGCCCTGCATAGAAAAGCATAGAGACCCAGTGATGACATCACTAGATCTAAAATAAGGCATGTAAGGAAAATGGAATGGTTTTATTTAAAAATTTCATGATATTGATTTGGGGGGGGGGGGGGGGAAGGGTTGCAGTGAGGGGGACCAGGGAGGGCAAAATATAATAAGCAGATTAAACTTAAATAAAAAAAATATATGTATATAAACAATTAAAAAAAAATATTATAAATAATTAAAAAAAAGACGCCGTTTATAAGCAATAATACATAAATATTTTATTTAGGATACGTCAGTTTTTTATGTGGAAACTTCTTTATATAAAATAAAATGTCCGCGCTCCCCGCCGTCCGCCATCGTTCCTCCATCGCAATATTTGGTAAACTGTTTTTGGTACCAGTATCGTCGCAGCCCCCCCAAACCCCCTAAAACCAGCAAAGTAAAACTGTTTGCCCCCCCCCTTTTTTTTTTTTTTTTTTTAGCTTAAAAAGTCTTGGCGGTGAGGAAAGTCGGTGGGGGGAGGGGGGCAATCTGCAACTGAGGTAGCCCAAACTGTCATGATGGCATAGAGAAAGTTCTTCTGGGGAAGGGGTCTGGTTTTCAGGTTCCTTCTGCAGTCAATGTCCTCAGAAACACAACATATGGCCAGAACGTATGGATTTCCCTCCCCAGTGATGGAGTTCAGATGCCCCCAGCAAAAATACGAAAGACCTTTTAAACATTGTGCTCTTCCAACCTTGTGGAAAAAGTTTGAAGACCCTTTTCTGTTCCGGCATGACTGTCCGCTGTGTACAAAGCCATCTCCATGAAGACATGGATGACCAGTCTTGTGTGGAGGAACTCGAGTGTCCTGTACAGAGCCCCGACCTCAACTCTACTGAACACCTTTGGGATGAATTGGAATGCCAATGGTGAGCCAGGTCTTCTCATCCAACATCAGTACCCAACCTCACAATGGTGAGCCAGGTCTTCCCATCAAACATCATTACCCAACTTCACAATGGTGAGCCAGGTCTTCTCATCCAACATCAGTACTTGACCTCACAATGGTGAGCCAGGTCTTCTCATCCAATGTCAGTACTTGACCTCACAATGGTGAGCCAGGTCTTCCCATCCAATGTCAGTACCCGACTTCACAATGGTGAGCCAGGTCTTCTCATCCAACGTCAGTTACCTGACTTCACAATGGTGAGCCAGGTCTTCTCATCCAATGTCAGTACCCGACTTCACAATGGTGAGCCAGGTCTTCTCATCCAACATCAGTACCCACCTCACAATGGTGAGCCAGGTCTTCCCATCCAACGTCAATACCTGACCCACAATGGTGAGCCAGGTCTTCTCATCCAACGTCAGTACCCGACTTCACAATGGTGAGCCAGGTCTTCTCATCCAACGTCAGTACCCGACCCACAATGGTGAGCCAGGTCTTCCCATCCAAAGTCAGTACCTGACTTCACAATGGTGAGCCAGGTCTTCCCATCCAACCTCAGTACCTGACCCACAATGGTGAGCCAGGTCTTCTCATCCAACGTCAGTACCTGACCTAACAATGGTGAGCCAGGTCTTCCATCCAGCGTCAGTACCCAACCCCACAATGGTGAGCCAGGTCTTCTCATCCAACATCAGTACCTCACAAATGGGCACACATTCCCACAGACCACCCTCTAAAACCTTGGGAGAAAACCTTCCCAGAAGAGTGGAGGATGTTCTAGCCACAAAGGGAGTCCAAGTGTATGGTTGTAACATGGTTTGACCAGTTGGGTGTGGAGGAACTCGAGTGTCCTGACCTCAACCGTACCGATCACCCTTGGCAAGAACTGGAATGCAGATTGTGAACTAGGTCTTTTTTTTATTGGCGCCCAGTGTGAGGCCTGATGATATAGGTGTCCAAAATCTGTACCAAAATTCCCACAAGCACCCTCCAGAATCTTCCTCGAAGAGTGAAGGCCCTTATAGACACAAAGGGAGGCCAACTCCATATCAATGGCCATGATTTGGTCCAACAAGCTCATATAGATGTGATGGCCAAGTGTCCCTGACTTGAAGTGGATCTACAAAATCCTGTTGAGAAGGTTCCACCATGGCTCACTCGGTAGGATAATGGACGTCTGATAGCACTTTGCCAATCACGTAGGATTTGGTTGGTTAGGATAAGTTTTTGACTCCAGAGAACCCAGAAGAACGTGGTAGAGATGAAAGGTTCGTACAATATACCGTCCGTGCTTCACCAGTTTCTACTAGTTGACCGAATTGGGGTCAGCCATTGGTAACGTATGAAGAACTTCATCAAGGAGCTGCAGGGCCCGATGCAGGTGAACTTCTATCCAACACGGCGTCTGCTTGATGCTCTGACGCGGGTAATCCGGCCCCCATCCTTTGACAAAGCTGAGACGCAGGATACAGAGACGGCGAAGGTCATCCACGCCTATACCGGCCGCTGCTGACAGACCTACAAAGAGAACATGTCAGAACAATGGAGGGTTAGGCTTCGTGTGGTACCCAGAAGGTCCCCGCCAAACCCAACCAACTTAGTCAAAGACTTGAACACGCAGTAGGAACAATTTAAAAGAATACAATGGGGTCAAATTTTGCCCCCATGACGGACCGCCATCTTCTATCCATGGCTCACTGCAGTCCTCAGTACTTACTGACAGCCGGTGCAATTCCACCCACAGACCCAGGACCGGGGATTGTCCCAGCCACCGCCGCGGCCTGAGCTGCCGCCGCTGCCTGCGCCGTGGCGGCTTGCTGCTGCATCTGGCGGTGGCACTGTCGCAGATCGAACACCTGAGGAACGCAACGGAAAGGTTTCTGCAGAGATTCTGAAAACGGATTTCCAACGACAGGAAGAGAAGAAGGGACTGTTACCTTGATGTAGGCTCCGGGGTAGATTTTGTGCACGGCGTCCCCCGGGGCCCGGCCCGCCTCCCTGTCCAGGTAGTAGCTCTGGACGAAGACGGCGTGGTCGCTGAGGCAGCGCATCCAGACGTCGCCCTCTCCGCGGCACTCCAGCTGGACGCCCTTCCCGATGTGAAGCCTGGAAGGCAAAAAAGGGGCCAAATGTCATCCCCCAATTCTGGAATCTGGCCAAAAATAAAAAAGGACTCCAGTGGTCTTCTTGGAGGGTCAAACTCTCACACCTTTGATGAGGTTATCTGATGGAATACAGGTAGCACTTTAGGGAGGACAGTATGGGGTCCCTCCTGGACTGAGGGAGCAGGGAGGACAGTATGGGGTCTCTCCTGGACTGAGGGAGCAGGGAGGACAGTATGGGGTCCCTCTTGGACTGAGGGGAGCTGGAAAGGCAGTATAATGTTCCCCCATGACAAAGGGGTGCATAGAGGGAAGTAGGGGTTCCCTACAGGACAGAGGGAGCAGGGAGGGCAGTATGGGGTTCCTCCAGGATTTAAGGAGGGAAGACAGTATGGGGTCCCTCCAGGACTGAGGGGACCAGGGACTGCACTATGGGGTCTAAAGACAGGACAGGGTTCCCCCATGACTAAGGGTGCAGAGAAGGATATATAGGTTCCATACAGGACAGAGGGAGCAGGGAGGGTAATATGGGGTTCCTCCAGGATTTAAGGAGGGAAGACAGTATGGGGTCCCTCCAGGACTGAGGGGACCAGGGACTGCACTATGCGGTCTAAAGACAGTAGAGGGCTCCCCCATGACTAAGGGGTGCAGAGAAGTAGGGGTTCCATACAGGACAAAGGGAGCAGGGAGGGCAGTATGGGGTCCCTCCAGGACTGAGGGGACCAGGGACTGCACTATGGGTCTAAAGACAGTAGAGGGTTCCCCCCATGACTAAGGGGTGTAGAGAGGGGTCATATGGAGTCCCTACAGGACTGAGGGGAACAAGGAGGAAAATATGGGGTCCCTCCAGGACAGAGGGAGCAGGGAGGGCAGTATGGGGTCCCTTCAGGACTGAAGGAAAGCAGAAAAGACAGTAGAGCATCCCCTCATGACTAACGGGTGCAGAGACTGGTACGTATGGAGTCCCTACAGGACTGAGGGGAGCCAGGAGGAGAATATGGGGTTCCTCCAGAACAGAGGGAGCAGGGAGGGCAATATGGGGTCCCTCCAGAACAGTGGGAGCAGGGACTGCAGTATGGGGTCCCCCCTAGGACTAAAGACAGTAGAGGGTTCCCCCATGACTAAGGGGTGCAGGGAGAGGCAGTCTCTATAGGACTGAGGGAGCAAGGAGGGCAGTACCGGGTCCCTCCAGGAGGAGCAAGAAGGAAAATATGGAGTCTGTCCAGGAGTGAGGGCAGCTTGAGGGTCCCTGCAGGACCGGGGGAGCAGGGAGAAAAGAATGGGGTCCCTCCAGGACTGAAGACAGTAAAGGGTTTCCCCCTTGACTAAGGGGTGCAGAGAGGGGAAGTATGGGGTCCCCACAGGAGTGCGGGGAGCAAGAGATTTGGGGCTTCTCCAGGACTGAAGGAGTAAGGCAGTACGGGGTCCCTCCAGAACTGAGGGAGGCAGTAAAGACAGTAGAGAGTTCCCCCATGGTGCAGACGGGACGTATGGAGTCCCTACAGGACTGAGGGGAGCCAGGAGATTAATATGAGGTTCCTCCAGGACTGAGGGAAACAGAAAAGACAGTAGAGGGTTCCCCCATAACTATGGGTATAGATAGGGAAAGTATGGGGCCCCCACAGGACGGAGGGGAGCAGAGAGGGCAGTACGGGGTTCCTCCAGGACGGAGGGGAGCAGAGAGGGCAGTACGGAGTTCCTTCTCCAGGACGGGGGGGGAGCAGAGAGGGCAGTACGGGGTTCCTCCAGGACGGAGGGGAGCAGAGAGGGCAGTACGGGGTTCCTCCAGGACAGAGGGGAGCAGAGAGGGCAGTACGGGGTTCCTCCAGGACGGAGGAGAGCAGAGAGGGCAGTACGGGGTTCCTCCAGGACGGAGGGGAGCAGAGAGGGGCAGTACGGGGTTCCTCCAGGACGGAGGGGAGCAGAAAGGGCAGTACAGGGGTTCCTCCAGGACGGAGGGGAGCAGAGAGGGCAGTACAGGGTTCCTCCAGGACGGAGGGGAGCAGAGAGGGCAGTACGGGGTTCCTCCAGGACGGAGGGGAGCAAAGAGGGCAGTACGGGGTTCCTCCAGGACGGAGGGGAGCAAAGAGGGCAGTACGGGGTTCCTCCAGGACGGAGGAGAGCAGAGAGGGCAGTACGGGGTTCCTCCAGGACTCAGGCCCAAAATATTAAGTTTAAAGTTTATACATTTTTATTTAAGAAAAAAAAAAAAGTTACAACTGAAACTTAGAGACCCTCCTGCAGCCTCCTAGAGGACCTCCTGCAGCCTCCTAGAGGACCTCCTGCAGCCTCCTAGAGGACCTCCTGCAGCCTCCTAGAGGACCTCCTGCAGCCTCCTAGAGGACCTCCTGCAGCCTCCTAGATATAGATTTCTGTAGCCTCCTCCATGGTTCACCATATAACCGAATGCAGCCAGAACTTCCCATGGAGCGGTGAAGGAACCCCCCCGGCACATGGTGTCGCTCACACATCTCACCTGGCCCTCTCGCTGGTGTCAGTACGGTGCACATTGGACAGCTGGCCCAGGCAGAATCGGTCCCCTCCAGAAGGGTCTACATATCCATCCACCGTGACGATGGGGCAGTTCGATGGCACCTTAAAGATTTCCCCGACCTGGACGTCCATCTCGAAGTAAGCGACGGAACACCAGAACTCCGGACCTTTGGGAAGTAAACAGGTGACAGCAGTTGGTGACGCGTCAATCAGGAATTCTATGACACCTCCAACCCAACAAACACGTACCTGGATGATTGGAAACGGGGTGCTGGTATTGGGGGGCGCTCTGGTGGAGGGGCCCTGCAAGGAAAGTGCTGTTAGATACAAATTCACATTGTGTTGCACATTAGAAGAGAGGCGTTGGGTTGTTCTATGAATGAGGACCCCCGAGGGTTCATGTGCTACTGTTCCAGGAACCCCAGAGTCAGATTTGGTTCCCTTAATGTCATGGCCACTCCCAATCCCTGCGACACCATATCTCTTTCAATAAGGCCCCATCCTTGGTGTCAGTAGAAGGAACAGTGCCCCATCCTTGGTGTCAGTTGGAGGAACAGTGCCCCATCATCGGTGTCAGTGGGAGGAATAGTGCCCCATTATTGGTGTCAGTGGGCGGAATAGTGCCCCATCATTGGTGTCAGTGGGCGGAGGAATAGTGTGCCCCATCATTGGTGTCAGTGGGAGGAATAGTGCCCCATCATTGGAAGGAATAGTGCCCCGTCACTGGTGTCAGTGGGAGGAATAGTGCCCCGTCATTGGTGTCCCCAGTGGGAGGAATAGTGCTCCATCATTGGTGTCAGGGGGAGGAATAGTGTCCCATCATTGGTGTCAGTGGGAGGAATAGTGCCCCATCATTGGTGTCAGTGGGAGGAATAGTGCCCCATCATTGGTGTCAGGAGGAGGAATAGTGCCCCATCATTGGTATCAGTGGGAGGAATAGTGCCCCATCATTGGTATCAGTGGGAGGAATAGTGCCCCATCATTGGTGTCAGTGGGAGGAATAGTGCCCCATCATTGGTATCAGTGGGAGGAATAGTGCCCCATCATTGGTGTCAGTGGGAGGAATAGTGTCCCATCATTGGTGTCAGTGGGAGGAATAGTGCCCCATCATTGGTATCAGTGGGAGGAATAGTGCCCCGTCATTGGTGTCAGTGGGAGGAATAGTGCCCCGTCATTGGTATCAGTGGGAGGAATAGTGCCCCGTCATTGGTATCAGTGGGAGGAATAGTGCCCCGTCATTGGTGTCAGTGGGAGGAATAGTGCTCCATCATTGGTGTCAGGGGGAGGAATAGTGTCCCATCATCATGGTGTCAGGGGGAGGAATAGTGTCCCATCATTGGTGTCAGTGGGAGGAATAGTGCCCCATCATTGGTGTCAGTGGGAGGAATAGTGCCCCATCATTGGTGTCAGTGGGAGGAATAGTGCCCCATCATTGGTGTCAGTGGCATGAATTGTGCCTCATTGTTAATATCAGTGGGAGGAGTAAAGCCCCAAGGGCTGGATAGAGGCAAGCAAAGGGTCACAGTTTGAAGACCACCGATTCAGACTAAAACCCAAAAGATTGATTTATAAGGACTGCAAGTTTCACCCAATAGCCTGGAACCCCATGAAACGTGTGTCTCTGCTAACATGAACTAGGGCAGGAATGTGGTTTATTGCAGAAGAAATGGAAGTTGGTTGCACCAAAGCTCACCATTGTAGAACTTACAGTACTGGTTGGGATGGTGAAGTGGGGGCTGCTGGCTTCCCCTCCCATTAGGTTGCGTTGGATTGGGGGTGTACGCCGCCGTACTGCTTCCTGTCCAGGTGGCTGCACAATGGAAACCAACAGTTCATGAGAGCAAGCCCGAAAACCAGGAAGGCCTCAAGTCCTCACCAGTTCCACTGGATGTACTTACTGTGGTAGGGCTGCTTGGGTGGCGATGGGTAACCGTTACTCTGAGAGTTCTGAGTCGGGGTGGGTGGAGGAGAGGCGGACACCATTTGCTGAGGAGGAGCTATTGGCATCATGCCGTCACCGTGTGTGAGAGGAGGCAAAGGGCAACCAGGAGGTACTGCATGAGAAGAAGACGTTATGGAGATGGTGGAAAACACAGACGTCACACAACACCAGATGTGGCCATTGATCTACTACCATCGTGGAGATCTGGTGTACGATCTGACCGGTGCACTCTAGGTCAGGGGATCTCAGAACTATTCTCAGATCCCAGTGGTGCATGTGTTTGGGAATTTCACAAAGTACCAGGAAACCTCGCTACTTTGTATCAGTCAGTAACACCGCCATGTTCCTGGGAGGAAATCCCAAAAAATGCACCGTTGGCAAGATTCGAGATTAGGTTGGAGAAGCCTATACTGTACATGAGGACCAACCAGTGCCGTATAAAGGGATATCACTACCTTCCCGTGTCCACTTGGATACCTGGTGCAGAGGGCCTTCGATGAGGGTCCACCAGTGGTGTATAAAGTGACATCACTACCTCTCTCTCCGTCTATTTAGAGATTTGTTAGAGATTTGGTGCCTAGAACCTTCATTTAAACCCTGGATAAGGTCCCACCAGCGATGTATAAAGTGATATCAGCACCTCTATGTGTTGTTCTGGGTATCTGGTGTCCACACCCTTCACTTAACCCTGGATAGGGTCCCACCAGTGAAGTAAAAAGTGACATCACTACCTCTCTCCGTCTATTTAGAGATTTGGTGCCTAGAACCTTCACTTAACCCTGGATAAGGTCCCACCAGTGGTGTATAAAGAGACATCACCACCTTTCTCCGTCTACTTAACAATTTGGTGCCTAGAACCTTCATTTAACCCTGGATAAGGTCCCACTAATGATGTATAAAGTGACATCACTACCTCTCTCCGTCTATTTAGAGATTTGGTGCCTAGAACCTTCATTTAGCCCTGGATAAGGTCCCACCAGTGAAGTAAAAAGTGACATCACTACCTCTCTCCGTCTATTTAGAGATTTGGTGCCTAGAACCTTCACTTAACCCTGGATAAGGTCCCACCAGTGGTGTATAAAGAGACATCACCACCTTTCTCCGTCTACTTAACAATTTGGTGCCTAGAACCTTAATTTAACCCTGGATAAGGTCCCACCAATGATGTATAAAGTGATATCAGCACCTCTATGTGTTGTTCTGGGTATCTGGTGTCCACATCCTTCACTTAACCCTGGATAAGGTCCCACCACTTATGTAGAATGTGATATCACTACCTTTATGGGTTTTCCTGAGTAACTGGCGCCCAGAAGCTTCCCTTAACCCTAGACGAGGTCCCACTAGTTATGTACAAAGTGATATCACGACCTTTATGTGTTTGTCCTGGGTACCTGGTGGCTAGAACCTAGCCATAGATCAAGTCCCACCAGTGATGTATGAAATGATATCAGTACCCCTTCGTATTGTCCTGGGTATGTAGGGCCCACAACCTTCACTTAACTCCAGATAAGGTCCCACTAGTGATGTATAAAGTCCTATCACCACCTCTCTACGTTGTCCTGGGTATCTGGTGCCAAGAACTTTATCTTAACCCTAAATTAGGCCCCACCAGTAAAGTATAAAGTGATACCACTACCTTTATATTTTGTCCTGGGCGTATCTGATGGCCACACCCTTCATCCAACCCTAGATAAGGTCCCACTAGTGATGTAAAAATCCTATCAGCACCTCTATGTGTTGTCCTGGGTATACCTGGTGTCCAAACCCCTTACCCAACCCTAGATAAGGTCCCACCAAAGATGTATAGAGTGATATCAGTACCCCTTCGCATTGTTCTGGGTATCTAGGCCCCACAACCTTCACTTAACCCCAGATAAGGTCCCACTAGTGATGTATAAAGTCCTATCACCACCTCTCTACATTGTCCTGGTTATCTGGTGCCAAGAACTTTCACTTTACCTTAAATTAGGTCTCACCAGGGAAGCATAAAGTGATACCACTACCCTTATGTGTTGTCCTGGGCATCTGATGGCCACACCCTTCACTCAACCGTAGATAAGGTCCCACTAGCGATGTAAAAATCATATCAGCGCCTCTATGTGTTGTCCTGGGTATCTGATGTCCAAACCCCTTACCCAACCCTAGATAAGGTCCCACCAAAGATGTATAGAGTGATATCAGTATGTGTTGTCCTGGGTATCTGATGTCCAAACCCCTTACCCAACCCTAGATAAGGTCCCACCAAAGATGTATAGAGTGATATCAGTATGTGTTGTCCTGGGTATCTGGTGTCCAAACCCCTTACCCAACCCTAGATAAGGTCCCACCAAAGATGTATAGAGTGATATCAGTATGTGTTGTCCTGGGTATCTGGTGTCCAAACCCCTTACCCAACCCTAGATAAGGTCCCACCAAGATGTATAGAGTGATATCAGTATGTGTTGTCCTGGGTATCTGGTGTCCAAACCCCTTACCCAACCCTAGATAAGGTCCCACCAAAGATGTATAGAGTGATATCAGTATGTGTTGTCCTGGGTATCTGGTGTCCAAACCCCTTACCCAACCCTAGATAAGGTCCCACCAAAGATGTATAGAGTGATATCAGTATGTGTTGTCCTGGGTATCTGGTGTCCAAACCCCTTACCCAACCCTAGATAAGGTCCCACCAAAGATGTATAGAGTGATATCAGTATGTGTTGTCCTGGATCTGTGCCCAAACCCCTTACCCAACCCTAGATAAGGTCCCACCAGATATGTGTCAGTGTGTTGTCCTGGGTATCTGGTGTCCAAACCCCTTACCCAACCCTAGATAAGGGATGTATAGAGTGATATCAGTATGTGTTGTCCTGGGTATCTGGTGTCCAAACCCCTTACCCAACCCTAGATAAGGTCCCCACCAAAAGATGTATAGAGTGATATCAGTATGTGTTGTGTCCTGGGTATCTGGTGTCCAAACCCCTTACCCAACCCTAGATAAGGTCCCACCAAAGATGTATAGAGTGATCAGTATGTGTTGTCCTGGGTATCTGGTGTCCAAACCCCTTACCCAACCCTAGATAAGGTCCCACCAAAGATGTATAGAGTGATATCAGTATGTGTTGTCCTGGGTATCTGGTGTCCAAACCCCTTACCCAACCCTAGATAAGGTCCCACCAAAGATGTATAGAGTGATATCAGTATGTGTTGTCCTGGGTATCTGGTGTCCAAACCCCTTACCCAACCCTAGATAAGGTCCCACCAAAGATGTATAGAGTGATATCAGTATGTGTTGTCCTGGGTATCTGGTGTCCAAACCCCTTACCCAACCCTAGATAAGGTCCCACCAAAGATGTATAGAGTGATATCAGTACCCCTTTGCATTGTTCTGGGTATGTAGGGCCCACAACCTTCACTTAACCCCAGATAAGGTCCCACTAATGATGTATAAAGTCCTATCACCACCTCTCCGAGTTATCCTGGGTATCTGGCCTAGAACCTTCACTGAACACTGGATAAGATCCCACCTGAGTTTAGTACCTAGACCCTTGATGGTCTCGGCAGTGACACAAATATGTACAACCCTCCCTGTGTCCTCCAGGATTTGTGTCACAAAGAACATTGACACGACGTGCCACCAAGCAGACAATGAACGATGGTGGAGAGGGTCTTACCAGCTGGTGATAGGGGCATGTTGGAGTACATGCCAACGCTTGCCTGAGGGCTTTTGGGTAGCGTCAGAGGCGGCAGAGATGGTCTGTAGCTGTCCGAAGATGTCATTTGAGGTAACGGAGGGCGTTTGACAGGCGGTTGGAGGTCTTGAGATACTGAGAGGCATGAAGGAGCTTCCATATCACAGTCATGAACAAACTCCTCTTTTACAGAGCGACACGGCGTGGCTAGAAGACCAGTAACCAGAGACTCAGACAAGAGCTGAAGACCAGAGCAGAAAGGACGAGGAGAATACAGAAGACCAGACTCACCTGCACTCGGGATGCTCAAACCTACGATGAAAGAAAGCCAATTTTAGTCAACCCTTCCCAGTTGTGCGCAGTTTCCGTACAAGGACGGCCCGACACTCACCGATGCCAGGAGACACCACCCGCTCGTAGTGGTACGGGTTCACACACACGCTGTCATACTTCAGGTCGAAGGCGTACTGACAGAACTTGACGTGTTTCAGTTCGTTTTTGTGCAAGTCTGGCCAACGCCACAAGCGGGCATAGATGACGTGAGGGAAACCCTTTCTACCAGCAACCTACGGGAGGAAAAAGGGCAGTTAGGTGGCGGATTTAGACATTTTCTAGGAATAAAGCATCAACGGCATTTGTTTTCAAAAATTGGTGCTAAGTAGGCGTTTCCCTCGATCACATGATCATTCCTAGTGGTGTATCAAGGGGTTCCTGCATCGCTCGGGTCCCTCCACACTTATACCCGTCTTCTTAGGTAGCTTGCTGAAAAGGAAACTTCCAGTGTATTGAACCAGGAGTCTCCAAACCAAAGAAAGGGCCATTTTAGTGTCCTTCAGACTTTATGGAGGGCAGACTGTAGTCTGTGGGAGCAGAAAAGGTCCAATCCGGGGGAAATCGTGCCCCATCATTGGTGTCAGTGGAAGAAATGGTGCCCCGTCATTGGTGTCAGTGGGAGGAATAGTGCCCCGTCACTTGGTGTCAGTGGGAGGAATAGTGCCCCGTCATGGTGTCAGTGGGAGGAATAGTGCCCCGTCATTGGTGTCAGTGGGAGGAATAGTGCCCCGTCACTGGTGTCAGTGGGAGGAATAGTGCCCCGTCACTGGTGTCGTGGGAGGAATAGTGCCCCGTCACTGGTGTCAGTGGGAGGAATAGTGCCCCGTCACTGGTGTCGGTGGGAGGAATAGTGCCCCGTCACTGGTGTCGGTGGGAGGAATAGTGCCCCGTCATTGGCGTCAGTGGGAGGAATAGTGCCCCATCTCTGGTGTCAGTGGGAGGAATAGTGCCCCGTCACTGGTGTCAGTGGGAGGAATAGTGCCCCGTCATTGGTGTCAGTGGGAGGAATGGTGCCCCGTCATTGGTGTCAGTGGGAGGAATGGTGCCCCGTCATTGGTGTCAGTGGGAGGAATGGTGCCCCGTCATTGGTGTCAGTGGGAGGAATGGTGCCCCGTCATTGGTGTCAGTGGGAGGAATGGTGCCCCGTCATTGGTGTCAGTGGGAGGAATGGTGCCCCGTCATTGGTGTCAGTGGGAGGAATGGTGCCCCGTCATTGGTGTCAGTGGGAGGAATGGTGCCCCGTCATTGGTGTCAGTGGGAGGAATGGTGCCCCGTCATTGGTGTCAGTGGGAGGAATGGTGCCCCGTCATTGGTGTCAGTGGGAGGAATGGTGCCCCGTCATTGGTGTCAGTGGGAGGAATGGTGCCCCGTCATTGGTGTCAGTGGGAGGAATGGTGCCCCGTCATTGGTGTCAGTGGGAGGAATGGTGCCCCGTCATTGGTGTCAGTGGGAGGAATGGTGCCCCGTCATTGGTGTCAGTGGGAGGAATGGTGCCCCGTCATTGGTGTCAGTGGGAGGAATGGTGCCCCGTCATTGGTGTCAGTGGGAGGAATGGTGCCCCGTCATTGGTGTCAGTGGGAGGAATGGTGCCCCGTCATTGGTGTCAGTGGGAGGAATGGTGCCCCGTCATTGGTGTCAGTGGGAGGAATGGTGCCCCGTCATTGGTGTCAGTGGGAGGAATGGTGCCCCGTCATTGGTGTCAGTGGGAGGAATGGTGCCCCGTCATTGGTGTCAGTGGGAGGAATGGTGCCCCGTCATTGGTGTCAGTGGGAGGAATGGTGCCCCATCATTGGTGTCAGTGGGAGGAATGGTGCCCCGTCATTGGTGTCAGTGGGAGGAATGGTGCCCCGTCATTGGTGTCAGTGGGAGGAATGTGCCCCGTCATTGGTGTCAGTGGGAGGAATAGTGCCCCATCATTGGTGTCAGTGGGAGGAATAGTGCCCCGTCATTGGCGTCAGTGGGAGGAATGATGCCCCGTCATTGGTGTCAGTGGGAGGAATGGTGCCCCCGTGATTGGTGTCAGTGGGAGGAATAGTGCCCCATCATTGGTGCAGTGGGAGGAATGGTGCCCCGTCATTGGTGTCAGTGGGAGGAATAGTGCCCATCATTGGTGTCAGTGGGAGGAATGTGCCCCATCATTGGTGTCAGTGGGAGGAATAGGTGCCCCGTCATTGGTGTCAGTGGGAGGAATGGTGCCCCGTCATTGGTGTCAGTGGGAGGAATAGTGTCCCATCATTGGTGTCAGTGGGAGGAATAGTGCCCCATCATTGGTGTCAGTGGGAGGTGGGAGGAATAGTGCCCCGTCATTGGTGTCAGTGGGAGGAATGCTGCTCCATCATTGGTGTCAGTGGGAGGAATGGTGCCCCGTCATTGGTGTCAGTGGGAGGAATGGTGCCCCCGTCATTGGTGTCAGTGGGAGGAATGGTGCCCCGTCATTGGTGTCAGTGGGAGGAATGGTGCCCCATCATTGGTGTCAGTGGGAGGAATGGTGCCCCATCATTGGTGTCAGTGGGAGGAATGTGCCCCGTCATTGGTGGTGTCAGTGGGAGGAATAGTGCCCCGTCATTGGTGTCAGTGGGAGGAATGCTGCTCCATCATTGGTGTCAGTGGGAGGAATGCTGCCCCATCATTGGTGTCAGTGGGAGGAATACGGGCTGCGGCGTATCTCGAGGGTTCCACCATATTTGGCACATGGGGTTTGGTGGACGTGGATCTTCCATGAATATTCCACAAACTGTAATAATTTACACGATGAAGAGACACAAATACGGCGGATCTTATGGGAGGAAAGTCTGGGGGGCCGGAAGCCCGTATTGTGAATTCACCGACGTGGCCAAAGATGGTTCCACCGATGGAACCGGAACACGCAACCCCAGTCCTGCCGACGTCCGTCTCAGCAAATCCGATGATGTCGCCGAGACGGACGATCCACCAATGGGAAGAGAGGACGTCTCCTGTCGGTGGGCCGGTTGTGCGATGGAGGGAGTCGGGGCCCCTTTAACAGAGAAATGGCCGATAATCGGCGAGTGACGGAGCGAACCGGAGGGATGACATTCCTGCCGCCTCCCCTGCGGGCTGCACCGGGTTAACCCTTCAGATCCGGGGAGACGGACAGACATGGAGGAATGGGGGGGGGGGGGGAAGAGGTTCTGCAGCAGCAGATCAGCAGAGTGACAGGTGGGGGGGGAGGGGAGGGGGGGGGCTGGGTTCTCACCACTGTTTATATGAAGCTTGAAGTGAAGTCTCCCTCCCCCTCCCATCCCTCTCCCCAGAGGTCTCCAGAGCAGACAAAACATCCCCCCCACCATCCTGCCAGACAGTGAGTCATCATACTGCAAGCCCAGCTATGAATTGTAGAGGAGGGGAGAGAGAGCGCCGGGGAGAGCGCGGGAGAGGGAGCGCAGGAGAGGGAGAGAGAGCGCAGGAGAGAGAGAGCGCGGGGAGAGCGCGGGAGAGGGAGCGCAGGGAGGGAGAGGGAGAGCGCCGGGGAGGGAGCGCGGGAGGAGCGCGGAGAGGGAGCGCAGGAGAGAGGAGCCGGGAGAGAGCGGGGAGAGCGCGGGAGAGGGAGCGCAGGAGAGGGAGAGAGAGTGCCGGGGAGAGCGCGGGAGAGGGAGCGCAGGAGAGGGGGGAGGCAGGGGAGGGCGGGAGCCGGAGCGCGGGGGGGGAGAGGGGAGGCCGGGGGGGGGAGAGCGGCGGGAGGAGAGCGCAGGGGGGGGGAGAGAGGAGGGGAGAGAGGCGGGAGAGAGGAGCGCAGGAGAGGGGAGAGGGAGAGAGGGCAGGGGGAGGGGAGAGAGAGAGGCGGGGGGGAGAGAGAGGGCGGGGGGGGGAGAGAGAGGGGGAGAGGGGGAGGGGAGAGCGCCGGGGGGAGAGAGCGCGGGGGGAGGGGAGAGAGCGCCGGGAGAGGGAGAGAGCGGGGAGAGGCGGGAGAGCGCGGGAGAGGGGAGCGCGGGGGAGAGCGCGGGGAGAGGGAGGGGAGGAGGGAGGGGAGGGCGGAGGGGGGGGGGGGGAGCGCGGGGAGGAGGGGGGGGAGAGCGCAGAGGGGGGGGAGAGAGAGCGGGGGGGGGGAGAGGGGGAGGGCGGAGGGGGGGGGAGGCGGGGGAGAGGGAGGGAGAGGAGCGCCGGGGGGGAGGAGGCGGGGGAGGGGCGGGGGAGGGGGGGCGGGGGAGAGGGGGGGGGGAGGGGGGGGAGGAGCGGGGGGGGGGGGAGGAGGGGGGGGGGGGAGGAGAGGGGGGAGAGGGGAGGGGAGAGAGCGCGGGGAGAGGGGGGAGGAGGCGGGAGGGAGGAGGGGGAGAGGGGGGGAGAGGGCGCGGGGGGGGGGGAGAGAGGGGGAGGGGGGGGGGAGGAGGCAGGAGAGGGGGGGGAGGCCAGGGGGGGAGGCGGGGGAGGGGGGGGGGAGAGGGGGGGGGGGGGGGGGGAGGGGGGGAGGGGAGGGGGAGAGGGGGGAGGCAGGAGGGGGAGGAGGGGGGGGGGAGGGGGGGGCGGGAGGGGGGAGAGCGCGGGAGGGGGGAGCAGGGGGAGAGAGGGGGGGGAGAGCGCCGGGGGGGGCAGAGGGGAGAGGGGGGCCGGAGGGGGGAGAGAGGGGGGAGAGGGCGGAGGGCGAGAGAGGGAGGAGGGGAGGCGGGGAGAGGGAGAGAGCGCCGGGGAGAGAGGGCGGGAGGGGAGGAGGGGGGAGAGGGGAGAGGGGAGAGAGGGAGGCGGGAGAGGCGAGGGAGAGGGAGAGAGAGAGGAGGGAGAGGAGGAGAGCGGGAGAGGGGGGGGACGAGGGGGAGAGAGCGGGGGGAGAGCGCAGGGGGAGGGGGGGAGGGGGGGGGGGGAGGGGGAGCGGGG